GATAGAAGATGATAATACCGCGAATTAATTTTAATTAATTATTTCAACGAAATAATAATTATTGAATTATCGATTATCGATTGATAATTTTATGTAATTAAAAAAAAATATGTCATGACGTAATAATTTTTATTCGATTATTATTATTATTATTCGCACAATTAATATCGACAAATTTTAATTATATTCTTGTGCATTTTTATGAATTATCTGTCGTCGTGTAACATTATAAGAAAATTTTTTCGATGCATTGTTGCTTTTTATTGAATTCAATAAGGCTTCTTACGATTTGGCAATGATGGGAAATCTTTTTTCAATTTTAAAAATTTAAAACTTTTGTTCGATTGCGTTGTTTTTTTTTTTTTCCTATCGTTAATATCCGGTTTTTTTTTAGCCCCCCCAAATATATATAAATATATTTCGATCGTATGAAACGGTGCAAGGACCGGATATCGTAACCGAGATTAAAATGTGGTAGTAAAAAAATTTTTTTTTTTTGGCAAACGATTTTTCCATGCAGCAGCAGCAAAAAATAAAAAAAAATGTTTATAAAATTTATTATTTCTATTTAATTATTCATATTTTGACTTTTATTATTATTATTATTATTATTTTATTCCTCTTGTTGTTGTTGTTGTTGTTGTTGTGCAATCGATTTTATGTAAATTTTTTATTTTTTTTTATTTAATAATATTTATTTATTTAAGTGAATAAGCAAATAAATAAATAAAAATTTTCTTTTTTTTGTTGCAAAAAAACTCTTCGAGTCAACTTAATCAAAAATTGGACAAAAAAAAAAATTTTTTATTTTTATTTTTGTCATTTGCATAAGTTAAACACGCGCATTCGTTTTTATAAAAAAAAGCAGAAGACGTAAATAAAAAAGAAAAGGTTAAATAAACAAGTAAAAAAAATTTTTTCTTTAATAATAATAATAATAATAATTTGAAAAAGTTTGTTATTATTTGTTTATTAATAATTTTTAAAAACAAATTTTTTTTCTTCTTATTTTTTATTTTAAACTTTTTAATAATAATAATAATAATAATAATAATAAATTAATTAGCGACAAGGAGATTAATACCGAATGTGTGAAAATAAATCGAAAATTTAATTTTCACACTTTCGGTATTGGTATAAATTTATCGAAAACGAGAAAAAAAGACGATTTAAATCCTTTTGGAAAAAGTACTGGAATTTGTAACGGTTTTATACGATCAAAAGTTATGAAAGCATTGTAAAAAGATGTAGAAAATAGTTATGAAAAAAATATTACTGCCAAAAAAGGGAAAAAATGGCCGGCATATCAAATAATTAGAAAATTGAAATTGATCGGGTTTTAAGAAAAGTGTAGGAAAGAAACTGGAGAAAATCTGGAAGTTACTGAATAGTTGCTTAAAACTCAATTCTAATTCGGAAACATAAAAGAATGGCAAAATTGATTGAAATTTCTGGAAAAAAAAAATTACGGAAACGATTTCCGTCTTAGTGGGAGCCCAAAAAAACCTCCCCAAAAAAAGAAAATCGAAATAAACTATTCCGGAAATGAGATTAACGTAATAATGAAGGAAATAAAATCGCCCACGCTCTGATGAGACACCAAAATCAATTCCTGTCGTTCCAGGTAAAATCCTGGAAAGTATAAACAGTAAAAAATGTCGTGAAAAATGATAATAATAATAATATTTAAAAATTATTCTCGTTTCAAATTCTGGAATTTTTTTTTTTTATGGAAAAAAAAAGAAAAAAAATTTAATACTATCCAAAATATATAATATAAAATATAATTGGTATTAATGGGAAAATCATCTGTTGTGGTTAATAATAATAATAATAATAATAATAATAATAATTAGAAAGCAAAAAAAAACAGCAGAAGAAATTACTTGCTGTCGGGGAAAATCTAAACAAGTTCAAAGTTATTCAATTTGATTAAAAAAAAGTTGATTACTATGTGAATTTCAAAGTTTTATTGATTCTTTACCAAAAGTTGAAAATAAAATCGAATTCGGAAACGGAAACGGGATGAGAGAAGAGGGGGAAATTTTTCGCGTGAAAATCGGCAAACGACAACCGCAAACAACAACCACAACAACCATTTCCTTTAAATGATTTCAAGTGAAAAAAATAAAAAATTTTTAACGGAATTACTGAAAGGGACCTGCCGGAAAGGATAAAAAACTTACAAAAACGATTTTTTTAATTTTTTTTTTTTGCCTAAACTTTAAAAAAAAATAATAATGATGATAATGGCGATGGCGATGGCGATGACGTTGGTGATAACGACGGCGATAAAAAAATTTTATTAAATAAAAACCTCATCGGAAGATTTTAAAATATAAAAAAAAATTAATAAAAGTATTAAACGAAACCTTTTTGCGGAGTTAAATTATCATTTGATATTCAACATTATTATCATTATTATTTTTTTAGTCGTGTCAATAGAAACGATAATAATAATAATAGTAAGGGAATCCCTTAATTAAAATAATTTTTTTTTTTTTTCCCCTCATCACGCATTTTATTTTAAATAAAAATTTATATATCAAGGTCATCACTTAATTAAAATAATAATAATAATAATAATAATATAAGAAAAATTTAATTAAAAAGTGTCATTAGAATAATGGAAAGTAGTGGACTGGAGGGGAAGGGGAGGAGAGGGGGGAAAAAAGAAATTTTATCCGTCGGAAATTCGATACAGTTTAATCATTAAAAAAAAAAAAAAAAAATACGAGACCTTGTCGTCGTGAAATGATTTGTTTGTTTTGTTTTTTTTGTTTTAAATGTACAATTTACAAATACCTTATTACGCCCCTGAACTAATAAAAAAAAATTTGACGCGATTTCGCTATTAAAAAGAAAATTTTTTTTAAATTTATTTAATTTTTTCTTTTATTCAATCGTCAATAGTAAACTAGTGGGAATTTTTTTTTTATCGTGAGGGGAGAGAGAGGGTAGGGGAGGGAGGTTGGTAAGAGAAAACAAACGAGAAAGGTTAAGGATTAAAGTAATAAAATAAAAAAAAA